GTAGGGAAAAAAAAACCTTTAAAATATGACCTGGGCTTATATTAAACTTTCAGAAATCAGAAGGCAAATAAAAATAAACCAAAACATGTTTTATAACAATATTATTATTTTTAAGACAAGCTCATGGTTTTGAGAATCTGACTCATAGTTTTTTAATGTAAGGTAGGCAATAGTCACACATGCCAAAGTGCATTAGGAAGAGATTCACCCTCAGCCCTGTGCTGCTCTTATACACCAATTAGTGGATCTGGTTCAGTGCAGAGGATAGAGCATGGTGGTACACCTAAAGAGGTGAAATGCAACACATGGTGAAATCCAGAGCATACTCACCTGTTTGCTGGAGATTTTGGGCTGGAAGCCTTGAGACAGAATTCTTAGGATGTTCCGGACTGCCCTGAACATAGAGTTGGGCCTATGTCATGATAGAGCTCTTAATAAATGGAAATTAATCTATCCAAATTATTTAGAAAGGGCAAGATGGCAGATTTGGGAAATTTCTTGGAGACATGGTAGAGGGAAATGCTTTTGTTACTGAGCCTTTCTATTTAAAAAAAAAAAGAAGAAGAAGAAATAAATTCAGGCACAGTTTTGAGTTTCTCTTTCCTAATTTTGAACCTGATCTGTTAATAAGTCCTCCCTGCATGAGTTCTTCCTGCATGAAATCCAGGCAGAAAAGGTATACCCATAGACCAGAGATTCTACTTACCGATACTGGTGCACTCCATCGTGTGATTGTTGGTTTCCAGCCCTTCAGGGCAATTTTCAAGGCACTTTCCACTGTATAAGTAAAACCCACTTTTGCACTTTGTGCAGAAATTTCTGGTGAAGCAGGTTTCACAATCAGCTTTACATTCTGTAAGATAAAAAATAGCAATTACATCCTGTCACTTATACTTAATAACGCCAAAGTATCTGATGCACATGTCTGCTAAGATGTAGGTTTATGCATGACACAAACAACCATAATAAAGTAAAAAGGCCTTTGAGTAGGAGCAAATTATTCTTTAAGGCCTCTTCCCTGTTTTAGCAACGTACAAAATATAGTATTGATATACCTTAGCATAAATGAGAATTAGGTCAACAGCTGTGTCTTAAAAGCCTTGCATTTTGTGTAGTCATTTCTATTGATAAAAAGTGAGTGGAAAATGCAATCAAATTAGAACACCCAATTTCCATTACACCCATTTTCCATTAAATAACTACATAAGAAGCTACGCAGTACAGACTCACTTCCATCCAATGTATTCATTGAGGAGTAATAAAGCATTCAGAATTTAGAATTTGCTTCAGATTATTATTTTCATTATACATCACCTTGAATATCTGTTCAGGATGGCAGCATAGAATTCAAGTAAGTACATCATAAATAAAATGATTTTGCATCTTCTTCTAATATTTCATTTTTTTCTGATAGATTATGTTCTATTATACTCTCTTCAAATTTTACATATACTTTTATAATTGTATTTGTATCATTTATACAGGGCAGAAGTAGTATACCATGAGAAGTATTTTAACACTATAATATAACCTTTTCATACAATACAGTGCATGTGTGATATGTAAAGGACATGTTCTAAAAATGCTCTTATAGAAAAGTATGCAAACATTTAAAATTCTTTAAATGACTGAATATAGTAGGATTTTTTTTTATCCAACCAGGTGACTTATAGTAGAACCTAAATACCTCATACAGTTGGGCTTCCCTGTGAAAAAAAACAGTTTGAAAACTAACTGGCGGGAGGAGACAGTGGTATAGAGCCATAGATAACAATTAGGCAGCATCCCTGATGAGCTCTGGCTGATTGGTGACTGAAGTAAAAGCTGCACCAAGTAGCCGAGTGGCTCATCTTTAATTCATCAACCCACTGTGAACAAAGGAGCCTGTGAACCACTTGGATATGTATGAATGATCTGGGCTGCACTGTACTAGCAAATAAAAGCTAGGAGAACTACCTAGGTATTGATCCATATGTTCCATGTACACACTGAGGGTACATGCACACATTCTATGATCACATGACTTATTTTAAATTGTGTGATTATAGATCAGGTCTGGCTTGTGTATATATTCACTGGCACTGGGAGCTATACCAGGAACCCGATCTACATAAGTCAGGGTGGGAGAAGGACAGGCAGGTTAGGAGTAGGATTCTGGCAGGTCTGGGGGCAGAGAGGCTGGCAGGATCATAGGAGACTGGTGGGTCTGTGGGGGTGTTGGTGCGTCTGCCAGGGGAATTGTCCATCCAGAGGTGGGGGGATCAGAGGACTAAAAGTAGCTGGGTCATGGTGGAGGGGAGGTATGAAGAGTGCAGCCTTGGAGCTGGGGAGAGCAGCTGGGCATTCCCAGCCCAAGGTCTATACTCCAAACATGTACAGACGTTTGTTAGCTTAAGCTAACCTGTTTCTGATCTAACTTAGTTCACCACCTCAGGTGAACTAAATTATATCAGGCTAGCCATTTTTTTGCCTGATCTAGTCTCTCTGAATGTTTGTACAGATTGGCACTTAGATTGACCTAACCCAAGTTAGGTTGACCTAAGCATAACATCTGCATGTACCCCTAGGCTAAGGACAGAGGATACATATAAACTGGTTTAAGTGATCAGAAAGTGGTTTAAACCTGTTACAAAATAGAAGTTCGGTGCACATAAACCAATTTCAAAATGGCTGAAACTGGTTTAAGATAAAGCTGGTTGAACGTAGTATCAGACTTAACTGATTTGGGTTAACCAGTTTATGAAGCTTCTGTCCCAGACCCCTTCCTGGTTGAAGTTAATCATAGTCCCCCAGCATGCTTTCCAACCCTGGGCTGGGCTGTCTGCTCCAGAGAGCAGGGCTGGCCACACCCCTCTGCTCCCTAGTTGGAGCAATGAGGGCTGGCTAACAAGGGGGTGGGGGGGGCAAGCAAGGCTGGGGATGCAGACCAGTCTGGGGCGGGGGAGGGGGGAACTGCCCTCCCTGGCAAACCTTGGCTGGACTCTGGGGCCAGGGAGGGGTGTTAAACACCCCTTCCCCTGCTCACCTGTGAACTACAAATCCCAGAAGTACCTGGAAGCAGGAAAAGGAAATGATGAGCAACCCTGCAGAGTCCTGCTGCTGTAATTCTGGACTGTAAATCTCAGAAACCTTGGGGGCAGCAGGAAGAGGAAGTGAACACACAGCCAGAAAGCAGTGCTCTACTGCCTCTCCAGCTTCTGGCCTGAGCCACTGCAGGCATGTGGCTACATTTCCTGAATCAACGGTAAATGACTGTTCACTTCTGTTGCAATTTAATCTGTACAGCTTAGACTAACCTGCAAAAACTGAACTGATTCAGCCTTGGGCTTTTTGATGCTTTGTACTTAGCCCTACAGGCTAATAAAGAACTGATCAAAAGGCAGTTGATATTTATTTTTAAATTTCCTTGATCCTTTTTTTTTTTCTCAAATCTCAAAAACCTGTTAACATTTTTAAAAACTGTTATCCTGGAAGAGGATTTAAAACAGAAAAAATAGTAGTTATGTGCCTATCTAACTTTGAGAATCAATTTAAATCTTTCCTTGTTGGGAAACTGTTGACCAAAACAGTGTAAAATTGCTGAAGTGCTATTGTGTTTAGAACAGGTGTGGAATATAGATGCAAAAGAGCTCTGAAAATCACATCACATTCCTTATTACAGGGTAACAGAGGTTAGGAAAGGGAGATTGGGAAGAACATTGCCAATTAATTTAAATGTTATAGTTTGGTCTCAAATCAGATTGAGCAAATTTACAATGTCATCTTCTCGAGCACTTACTTGTACACTTATTTATGTCAGGATACCGTGTTCCGTAGTATCCACTTGGACATGAAGAAAGGCACACCCCAATCTGTTTCATGCCGATCCTCTCCAGAACAAAAAAGAGTCTGGGTTTACATGACAAGCATCCATTGTAGTCAGAACATGTTGCACACCCACCTTGGCAACCCTGGCTCACATTAGGATGCACTAGGAAGACAAATTATTAAAAGGAAAAAAAAATTAGACAAGGCATTGGTATGACAGATGCTTCTGTACTTTGAATGCTGTGTTAAATGGTATGTTAATGCTGTGTACTCTGGAGGCTGGCTCATTTTGGTTCATCTCTCTTATGACCTGATATTTCATTTCAGTGTTCTTTTCAGTCGCCTTCAATCACATTAAAATGAGAAGATCAATTAATCTGAGGAGCAAAGATAAATGAAGTTTTTTGCCCATGAATTTATTTTTGCATTTTATTTCTTATTTAAATAATTAAAAAGCAACCTCGTTTATTTTAGTGATTAAGTGTCTTCTTAATTGGATTCTGTTGTACAGGAATATGCTCCTGTTAAAGCTCATATTAAATTGCCTTGATAAGAAGACAGAAGGAGACATCCTCATCCTCCTGCTTTCCTTGGAATGCTCACTCTGGCATGTATTTAATCTCTATCAATTGCAACCTGATGTTCAGACTTAACTATGGCATCCATCCTACCCTCATCATGGCATGAAACATAGGTAGGATTATACTTCACTTTCATTGTATCCTTGTAATTCATCAGGAAACAGAAAAGAAAATGTTGTTGTCTTTTACTGCACATTCAGTTTTAAAAGAATTAATGCTCATGGTATTTACAGGAACTAACTGTTATAAAGTAGAAAATAATGAGATACTGTAAAGTACCTTTTTAGTAGCAGAGACCTATCAATGAAATATTTCTGTGAGGGACACAGTAAAATCTGGAGGCCATGGTACTATGCCTCCCTGGTCAATGCAGAAGTTCTTACATATTGCTGATATATTCTTTTGAAGTTGGGGTTCTACTTGTCTCAAGCAATGGCAAAGCTGCACCGATTTACTAGGTGCAATATTTGTAATGGCAACATCCCTAGGCACCTAGACTAGATTTTTTGAAGAGTTTAGATTATGGAATTGAGTTCTCTAACTACTGTATCCACAGTATAGGAGCCTTAGACATGCATTCATTTAATGGTGTACTAGGATCTGATCCCTAGTCCCAGAATTTGTGCCTTCTGCCACACCATGTGTATGGCAGGAGATGCACTTTTGGGATTAGGGATCAGATTCCAATTATGCTATTACTACTTGCTAGCACAGGGGAAGTCTGGAATCATAATTCTGGGCTCTCCTTGCACTGGCAATTTGAAAGTCAGGTGCCTTGCAGCCCCACATGGGGCCAACAATCAGCTGAGTGTTGGCCACAGCACAGACTGCCCTGTGTCCAGTTCTAGGATGGGCCCAAGGGTTTCCCCCCACTAGGGACTTGGAACTGCTGGGTGCAGGGTTTAATCAGGGCTGTGAAACGTGGGGCGTTATAGGCTCCCAGCAGGTGCGGCTGAAGCATTCCCCCTGCTGGGGACTAAACCCTGTGGGCAGTAGCTCTACCAGGAGCAGAGCATCAGAGGCTCTAGTAGGGAGGAACCCTATAATTGCATTATATGTAACACTGAAAGACAGACAGGTGCTCACACTGAGGCCATTTTCAAAGGCAGGACTAATAAAATGACAGAGAAACTAGTATTATTTAAAAACAATCCATGACTTTCTGTGAATGAATCTGACAACAATGAAAAAACTGATGAAACACAGCATTTGTCATTAAAGTTGATATACATAAAAAGTGTGAGCAGTTTTGACACGAAGCCTATTAGGTATGATCACATATGAAAGGTAGAAATCTATGTATTTTTATGCCACCCTCCCCAACAAGGCTCAGTGTGGCTTACAATACGAAACAAAATAATTTATCAAAGCAGGTAGAATAAAAAGGCTGTTTTGACAGAGAAAATGCCTATTTTAAGTCAAGCTTGAAGTATAAGCTCTCAGGACAGAGAAGTTTTATTATGAAGAGGTGATAATTGCTCCATAATTGAGATCCATTATGTGATGAATTTTCAGTTCCTTCTTATTTCAAAGCATAAAAAAATTCTAGCCACTACTTCATTTTCCTCTTCCTTCTTGTACAAACCACACAAACGTTGCACGATAAAAACCATGCTTACCCACTAACGTACAATTGTATTGTTGTTATCTTGAGGAGACCAATACATTTAAGTCAGTAACCCATGTCCCCATTATAAAGTTGATTATGCGCTCCATTGTAACTCAATATGCAAACCAAAAAGTTCATATGCTTGAAAATGAAGTAAAAGTTCTTTTAAAAATTCAGAAATTAAGTAACTACATTTTTTTAGTTTAAATACCTTAAATTGGATCCTTCATCATGACTTATTTGTTTTGTGCCGAACATTCTGCAGAGCTCCTGTGGCTACCCACAAGAACTTGTATTATACCACAAGATTTGAACCGCAGGTAGATTCTTATACTGTCTCATGCAAGAGGCAGTACTTAAGGACATTGCCCCTTACTTTGTGGCCAAGTCCCAACTGAGCCCTTAAGGCATGTCACCATGGCCTCCATGCCAAGCCTGGGAGCACTGCCAAGAAGCACACCCTGCCCCTTGCTCCTGTTCCCTGTGTGCCAAATCGTGGAAAAGAAGCAATGTAGCTGCTTCTTTTGTAGCAGCGAGCACATGTCCAGAGCCTGAGTCAGGCCCTCCACCTCAGGGCTGCTTCTTGGTGCATGGACGCTATAAAGTGGCTACATGGCTTCATTTCTGTTATTTGTGATATATTCAAGGTATGCTTTTTGGGCCTAACATGGAGGCAAAGCAGACATGTCTTTTAACAAGTAGCTTAATGTCCTTCCTTGGATATGCTGTTTAAGAGCTGTTTGCTCCCCCCTTACTCCTCATCACTCCCTGCTAAGCAGGAATTCCCCCCTCCCCTCTGCCTTGCTGAGGAGGTACCTGTGTATTAGCTAACAGACCACATGCTGGGTCCCTTCTGAATCAACAGGTAGAATCAACAGTCTTAACTGCACGATAAACACTGAAATAAGGGTGATAAACACAGTTATGAACCCCTCCCACCGCCAGCTTGCTTGCCTGTCAGTTTGCTGCAGACAATACACAGAAGCAGGGACGGAGAGTGAAAAACTCTGTATCATCAACAGATGCATGTACTGCACAATGCCTGCTGACACCATGCCTCAGAGTGCTAGCCCAGGCTGCAGGCTAGCAATATTCCTGCCCCTTGAGCAGCAAGCAGAGAAAAGCCTGGGACTGCAGGCAGGCTGTGGGTTTACTGTCCTCCCTAATCAGAGCCCTGCTGGGGCCTGGCCACACCTGCCTCAGCTCAACTGTTTAAGGGCACAGAGGGGTGCTCTAGCACCCACTGGCTTCCAGCCTAAGTCACTATAGGCATGTGCCTGAATTTCCTCAGTCCAGAGGGTCTGTCCTTATAGTTGGAAACTGGTTCAACCTAGCCAGGTTAGATTAACCTCCATAGACTGAATCAATTCAGGCTCAGGCTTTTTCAGTGTCTGCCCTTAGCCTAGGGATAGGGCAAAACAGAGGGCATCATCTCTGTCCTTTTGTTTCACCAACATAATTGCACCCCAGAGGGCTTAAATCAGGAGTGGGCAATTATTTGGGCCCATGGGCCATACAGGCAGTTCTGGGTCAGTATCCCAACCTCCTGCAACAGCCCAGAGCTCACGTGCCCTGAGGTTCCTCCCCACCACTGCCAACAGTGCACAACCCCAGCCCCAACTCTGGCCTGGCCCACCTTTCTAGGCATCCCAGGCAGCAGTAGGGGCTCTTTCTGGATGCCACTGGCCCCAGCCCCATGGTACTATCAGGGACCCATGTGCAGATCCCCAACTCCAGCCTGCCCCATGCCTGCTCCAGATTGTCTCCTCACACTTAGCAGTGTCAGCAGCTGGGCAGAAGCTACTTTTGGGCCCAGAGGAAAAGTGCCTCCTCCCCTCCCCCACCACTGCTGGGCCCTTCTTGCTGCAGCTGCCCAGAGAGCCACCCCTCCCCCCACACGCACTCAGGCTGCTCTGCCAATTCTCTCCACAACTATCACCGCTGCCTAGTGAGGCAGCGGTGGCAGTGTAAAGGAGCTGTAGGGCAGCTCAGACATGGGCTCCAGGTGACTGCAGCAAGAAGGGCCTGGCAGCAGTGAAGGGGAGGGGCTGCTTTTCCCCCATGCCCAGCAGCAGCTTCTGCCCAGCCGTTGCCACTGCTCAGCATAGGTGGATGAGTCTTGAGCAGGCATGGGGTGAGCTGAGCTGGGGCTCTGCACATGGGTTCTGGCTGGTTCAGAGCTGGTTTGCTTCTCTGAGCTGAGTCCAGAGTGGGTGCAGGGCAGGACAGGGTCAGGGCTGTGTGCATGGGTCCCTGCTAATACCACAGGGCTGGGACAAGTGGCGGTGGCTGCTGAAGGGAGCCACCACCACTTGGGATGCCTAGAAAGGCAATCCAGCTGCAGAGCCACCCCAGCCCCACTGCATGCCCAGGGGGCAGCAGGATGTGCCATGAGCTGGACGGCGCTTGTGCCAGGTGGCACCAAGGGACCCATCGTGGACTGGGCAAAGTCCCTCTGTGGGCCAGATCTGGCCCTTGGGCCATATTTTGCCCACCCCTGGCTTAAATGATTTGCCACAATTAGCTTGTGAAAGTGCTAAGAGCAGAACCCGAACATTTTAGAATCTGGCTGTGGGGCCCCTACTAAAAATCACTTCAAGCCTCTGTACTTAGGTCAGTAGTAAAAAAATAATGAGGGGGACAAAAATGTATAGCTGCCTTGTAAAGTGCCTTGAAACCTACAGGTGAAATAGTGCAATGTGAGTTTTGTGTGTTTTTATTAGCTACAACTTGCAGATATAGTCACTAGGGCATAGGGATGTCCATTGTCTTGGCAGAGAGGCAGTGTAGCGTAGCGGGTTAGCTACTGGCAAAGGAATCAAGAGATTAGGTTTTTTGCATTGCAGATAAGTCCAAGAAATGCTGTCTCTCAAAACCACATGGTATTTGGTATAATTTAGTTCATTCCAAAAGCAAAACAAACAATAAAACCCACACTCCTCAAAGTTATCTTTGTGAGCCAGAATAAAAGTA